CTTCGATATTTGATTGGTGGGCAATACCTTCTTCACCGTGCACGGCTATTTATCTTAATTTTTTACTCTTTCGCACTCTCGCGCGTCGACGGTAGCGCGACCTTGATCGTTCCAAGATAGCAGGCGGCCTTCTTCAAAGGATGTCGCTGCTTTTCCGTATAAAGCAGCTTTATTTATCGCGCCTCATGGGCTCCCGAGACAAGTTACAAATGTATGACGAAAAAACGCGGTGAAACTTTTGCACGTTCATGCGAGCACAATGAATTACTTGCATCACCCACCATAACTTGGCAATGAAAAAAAAACTTCGCAAACAGTCGCGCGCGCAAAAATGGACAGGTCCCGCCTCTTCCAATGAAAGGCGCGACTGCCGAGGTCGGTAGCGACACCCGTCCAATAGGATTTGTTTTCACGATAGCAGTTGAAAGGCACACCGAGGTATGTGCACGGTGCACGGTGCCCGGTCCCAACTGACGCCTTCAGAAACTGAAGGCGTTGTGGCCCACGCCCCATGTCGAAACGCACAGCACTTTTTTTTTCAGTTTACTGCTGCCTATGTGGCCTCAAAAAACCTTTTTACCAACGCCACAGCAGCACTAACGCTTTTTGCTTCGGTGAAAAATATGCAATGTCATCGGCATAGCTGATTTTCTTGCTATGAGCGTCACTCAACCGTAACCACGACATACATGTATAAATTACTTTCAATATGTAATTCAATTACAATTACAAATATTTTGCTTCAAAAGTAGTTTAACTACAATTACAATTACTACTACCGGAAAGTAATTCATTACAATTACAAATTAATTCTAAAAAGTAATGCTATTACTTTACAATTACTTATTTCTGAGCGCTACCCACCTTGGGCCCCATAACTTTAAACGAGTTATATGGCCGCTGTATCAATGTCACGTATTGTACTCTTCTTTTATTACATTTGTTAAATGAATTATAGAACTTAACAGTTTGGAGTAATGGGCTCTAGCATTTTTATATTCTCAATAAATGAAAATAAGTTTTTCTTATATTTTTATTTTATCTTAAAACGAGCTCTTGACAGTCTAAACCCGCGGTTTGTGAAGTTTTGGAATCTCGTCCAATCAGTTTGAGAAACGGTTGAAAGGGTTAGGGGTTGGAGCAAACAGTAAATAACGAACATTCCCGCAGAAAGGTAGACGAGGATTGGGAGAGGGAAGAAGAATGCTGCAATAACGGCTGGAAGTAAGGCGGGGTGAGTCGTGTTAACGAGACCTGCTGTTTCTTCGCCTCGATGTTAGAGTAGCACAATTTACTGAAGTGGTAGAGGGGCGTGAAGAACTCATAAAGAAAAGAGAATAATTTCATAGACAATAAAATCCCCAACCTTGAATGAAACATGTAAGCGAATATGCTAGCGACGAAGACACGTAAGGAGAACCTCGTACCTCCCCGCCTCGACCGGATGATGTGATCGGAGCCCATCCAGCTCGACTTCGAAGCCCGATGCCTCCTGATGGCAGTGAGAAATAAGAGAAACCCCTAGGAACACGAGCAACAGGAAGCGTACGAGACGAAAAGACAGATTTGAACTGCGATCCGAACGAAAACTGACGCGAATATAGCCCTCATTTATCAAATTATTGCTCAAATGTTTTATTAAATCGATTTACAGTTTACAAAACCTTTCATTCCTTCTATCCCGGCCTCCCTTTCCCGTTCCTCCTTTCCCTCCTTTTAAGCAGGTTGGGATACATCCTGTCCCCTACCGCTTTGGCTGTACAACAGTAAAAACACCGGCGACGTAAAATCTTGCAAAGTAATTGTAATTGTGCCAGAAATTTTGCAATTACTGACGCTAGGAAGTAATTAAATTACAATTACAATTCTTTTTAACTAAAAGTGATTAATTACAATTACAAATTACCAGGAAAAGTAATTAAATTACAGTATTCAATTACTGTAATTAAATTACTACCCAAGTATGAACCACGACAATCCACGCTGCCTAAAATAATGAAGTAGAACAGTTCCAAATACACATTAAAAAATGACAGAGGGCACCCTTGCCTGACTAATGGCCGGACATTATATCTCCGGTAAACTTTTCGTTTACAATAAGCTTTGTCGTACAAACCCAGGGGGGGGGGGGGGGGGGGGGGAAGGGGTTCTCAGACATCGGGAAACAGGCAGTGGGCGGGACCACGTCGACCGCGGTCGAATCCACCGCAAGGGAAAGGAGACCGGAACCTTGTACTGGAACATCCGGGGCCAACTTGTCCTTTCCGTCTGAAACTTGTACGGGACAACCGTCTCCGGTGGTATTCCCCTATGTTTGTGTAATCGATTTGGCGTCTTCCTTCAGACCCTCAAGAACCAGCCCAGCTTCGTCGACCTCCATGGTTAGCAGGGGGACGGGGGAGGGGGAAGGCCGTCTTTCGTGTCTCCACCAGTGACGCGGGCGTATGTCCTCACACAGTCTTCCCTGTCGTGACCAAAACGGATGCACACCGAGCACTTCGGCACTCGGCATTCGCGTTTGATGTTCCGGCCGCACTTGCAACGCAAGCAGACCGGTGCTCACCCCGGGATGACGATGAGGACGTATTTTTTCTGGAGCCTCAGTTGGTGAGGCATGACGCGGTGCGTGACGCCACTCTTGAAAGTCATGCGTCTGATCCGCGTCGTCGACGCATTGGCCTCAAACCATCGGCACGTCATTTCTTGCGGGCGACTTCTATGACGTTGCCGTTGGGCTCAAACTGTCTGCTCACCGCGTCGTCGTGGACGTGGAAAGGGATCCAGTGTACGCGAAGGCGTACCTCGGTGGAGCAGGGGTCAACAACGACGCACCATAGGTTCTTGATGCCGAGCTCCTTCGCGTTAGCCAGTACTTCCTTGGCTTCAGGCGCCCGAAGCGTGGCCAGCCATACATGGTTCATCTGATATGCGCGCAGCGAGACGATATCAGACAAAACAGCGATACGGCCGAGTTCCTGGCGAAAATTTTCGATTTCGATATGGACGCCCCTTGAGGTCCCAGTGAAGCATGACCGAGTTTAAAACCGTTGACCCGTTAGGTAAGGGTAAAGCCCTTTTATACAGAAAAGTTGCGACATCCTTTGAAGAATGCCGCCTGCTATCTTGGGCCAAACCAGACGGCGCTACAGTCGACGCGCGGGTGTAAAAAAGCAAAACATAAAGATAAAAGGTGTGCGCGTCAGAGGAAGAGGGAGGAGGAATGCCTATCCTCTCGGAGTGCAGTGCATGCTATGAATTAAGGTGGCGATGCATGGGAGTTGGTTCATGACTTAAGAAATTGGGAACAGGGCGCAAAAAAGGCGAGGACAACGATTGTAGAGCACAGGAGAAGCGCTGACTATCAACTGAAGTTTTATTAAAAACGACTCAAACACGAAAACACCATAGAGCCAACCAACGCCGAAACAACCAATGTCGTAGCGCTCACCAGGCATCTATAAGATATATCTGTTTTTTTTTTTTTTTTTTGTGAAGATAAACCGAAGGCTGGCTGACGCGGTGCCCCGAGCCAGCTTTTTCGATGGCATGCGCCTCCAGCACCTCTCTTTGCACTTTTGTGCGCCCCTGCCAATGATTATGGTATCTTTGAAGACGGGGTGACACAAACAGTCTCTGCAGTATACGTATAAGTGACCTCCTGTCATTGGCCGTAGGGAAAGGGCATGTTCACGCATTCTCTCATTGACGCAGCGTCCCGATTGTCCTATGTAGACCGGGCGGCATGACAATGAGATTTTGTAGATGAAACCCACCACGCAATTTACGAACGTTTTGACATGTTGAACCGTACATGACCTCTTGTTACTGTGTGCCTGGTTTACGCGCGGGCAAAGTTGTCGTGATTTGCGAGGCGCCGAAAAGACCATTGGCACATTGAACCGCGGTTAGCCCTTTTTTTAATCATGTGAAACCTTATGTATATATGGGATAAGCTGAGGCCTTGTTTAAGCTTTATTTTGGTTCCTGAGAACAACTCTTGACTTTGTTCAAGAGTGTCTGAGAGACACCAAGCAAAACGTACAGAGGAAATCCTGCTCCTATAAATCGCTTGACCTGGACATCATAGCTGTCAAACATGGCATGGTGACAAGACCTGTATACACTGAAGCTTGGAGGCATGACGTGGCAATGTTTCGTTTCACAAGTTGGCGACATGCTATGAGCTCATATCGCCAATCAAATAACACCGAGTGTGGAACGCCACGGCTTTCATCGTCTTTCTTTGAGCACATCCTTCGAGGCTGGTAGACCATGACAGTGCGCTTTTAGCCTGCATGCATGTATATGCGTGTCTTTAAGCCTTGGACTACGGTCTGACTCAAGTATAGGAAGGCCGTCTGCTATCTTGGGCCAAACCAGGCGGCGCTACAGTCGACGCGCAGGTGTAAAAAAATATATAAAGATAAAAGAAGTGCGCGTCAGAGGATGAGGGAGAAGATGTCGCTACCTTTTTTATTCAGTGGCAATAGGTACGGGCGGTAAAGCAGTCTTGTACTCTTCCGAGGAAGATACTCCAACAGCAGACAAAGAACCATGGCCGGAGAGGCCCATGTCGCCGCTCCGTCGGAGATAGTCCAAGGTCAATTCATATGGGTCGCAAAAGTAAAGCAAAAAAACGGCCCAAAACCAATCGTCAGCGCAATCACCCTGGAGGCCGCGCTACCGCAGCGCGACTGTGATTTGCGCGGCGAAACACTAAGCTGATAATATATTAAAGACACAATTTCGGTGTTTAATATAGTTTACTTTAAATCAAAGTATAATTTATTCATAATAATTTAGTTTAAGAATGTTCAGTTGGGTGAGTTTTCTAGTTAATGTTTAATATGCATTAGGTTGTGCACACTCGTTGATACCTCTACAGCGTCGCTATTACGGGTGCTTACGCCGTCGGCCGAAGTTCGCAGTCCTGATACGCTTTGTGTTTGCATTGTTTGCGTTTGCCAGTGTGCCCGCATTTCTGTAGCTCCCGTCAAACTTTCACTTTGCAATCGTTCAACAATTCGTGGTCCTAAGTTTTCCCACGTGTCTGAGTGCAGAACGGTTTGTACTGGTTAAAGCCTATTGCGCCGTTCTGCGGGTTGTGTTTTCGAGGGCCCGCCGGGCGCGTTGAAGCCTCCGTTCATCGGGACAATGAGCCTGTCGCATGTAAAGTGACGCTGCTCGGTAGCGCGATGCTCAAGTGATGACTGCACCGCAGGCACCACACTTCATCGTTTTCCTGTGGACTCTGCAATGTGAAACTTGTAGCAGCTGGGTCAGCTGCAACTATGTGTGATGTCCTGATGGTGATTGTCTGGTGATGTCTGGTAAGCTCTTGACCTCTTCTATGGGCCCTCATGCATCTAACAAGCATCTCATGCATGCTCATTTAGTTATAGGCACCCGTTGATCGAGCATTTTTCGGCCAGTCTTCGTTCCAAGCTGCGCGAGACGAAACTGATCTCAGATATTAGTGGAAGATTTGCGTGGCCTCTGCAGAACGGCTGTGTGACCACAAAAACCTAATAAGAAACAATGACTGAACATTTCAGTTTTAACCTATTTTAATATTATGGTGTGAATAACACTAAAACATCCTTTCTGCTTCAAACGTGGTCGGTGTCGTCCTTCTAACATGCTGGCGACTATCAGGTCTACTTGCTGTGAATGTGCTCGGGAATCTCGTGATGTAACCGTCTCCGTTGTGAACCTATCTATCCTCACGGGCGCAGAGGTGCGTTTTGCGCTCATGCCGTTCGGTGGACCCAAACGGGAAACCAGGTACAATTATGTCACCAGTTTAACGCTATCATTATTGTTTAATCTTGTTCCTTTCCTAAATGTCCACTGAAAGCCTTTCAGCCTGTTCAGTTTAGCCAAGGCTTTGTAAAGTAATACACTGCTTCACATTCAGGCGGAGGGTCTGGGTTCAGTTCTGCCGGAACACAAGCCTTCAAAACAAGACACCACAGCAGCTGCGGGAACAGGCGATATGCTCCAGGTACTTCAAGCCCTCTGCATTTCTTTATCGAAGAAGGCTGCGTTGTGATGCAATGCCAGCATATTTGCTGAATGTGAGCGCGAAATCTTGTTTTCATTATTGCTGAGAACATAAGCTTATGCAGAAGGTATTTCACATGCAGATACAAGGAACTGTTTCAGTGTACATAACATGTGTGCTTAACTTTGCAAATGAACTTTGCATAGGTGCCGGAGATGTCGTCCACAGCAGCAGCGCTCGCCAATTGATCAGCGAGGGCGAGCCCACACAGGCCAGCAGCAGTAGCATCGGTGCGCCACATCATCGAGGTGTCACACGCAAGGCACTACGGAACAATGTAAAAGCATTTGCATATTGGCGGAGAAGTTTTGCAGGCTATGTTTCTTAATTTCGGACTGTCGCGTAGTAGCCACCTTTTCTATGACTTAGTGTGTTCCAAGCACTTGTGCGTTCTTGGGAAACATGCAAAACATGTATGACCATGTTTTTAATCTAGCTTGTCACATGCCGCAGGAACATCTTGAAACAATGCAATGACTGTAATTTTTGACAGATTCTTTATTTGCCTCGTCATTGCTTTGTAGATGTGGGGAGCAGTCTCGAAGACTGGCACTCGAAGATGTGGGGAGAAGCTCGAAGACTAGCCCTACAACCAGAGTTCATGGTAAGTTTGGATAGTGTGCGTTGTTTAGAACAGTCCTTGAAGATTACTTTGTTGCGTAGTACTTGGGCGGCTATAGCTGGTTCAGCTTCTTGCAACCGCTCTGCCACTTTTTTTCCTTTTTTTTTTCTTTTGTAGTGAATCACACATACGCGATGGATGGACATGGTCGTCCTTCTGGAGAAAAAGTTGTGTGGGCGCCCGAACCTTCCCCTACCGATTATGATGCTTCGGTGACTTCGGCTCCTGAAGTTTCTCACCAACGTAGGTATCTGTCATGATGCACAAAGCTTACTTGTAATTCCATATTTTCTACAGTGAAGGTGCATTGCTTCTTTCATTGTTTCTCGAAGCGTTTCATAATTGTTTTTGCTTTCCCCTTGCAGACTCCTGGGCCACCTGTACCGAGGGCAGGGGGAAGATAACCGTGTTGAGGGCCAAACTTTGACAGCTTCAGAATCACAACACGAGACTGCAGCAACGACTGCAGCGACGGCGTCATATGCTGACTGTCACTGAGATAGTTGAAAGTGTACGTAGCCTTGTGTCTCCAGCCGTTGCTGCCCTTGTGGAACCTCAGCTGAAGATGAGCAATGCAAGCAGGTCGGCAGGCGGTGGTGCTGCCAGAACAAAGCCTTTGTCTTGGGCTTGCACATTCACAGCCCTATAAGTTACCGTTACTGTAGGCAATTGGTGAGGCTCCCATCCGTTAGGTCGTTACAGCTTTGGCTCCAGCGTGTTCCCCTGAGGGTTGGTTTTTAGCCAGAAGTTTTCCAACTTGTCAAAAGACGTGCAGTTTCTTTTTCACCAGAAGACAAGCCATGTATCATTGTCTTTGACGAGATTCACGTCACGAAAGAGCTCTCGTACAACCCCTCTGAGTACAGGTTTGAAGGGCTTGAAGAGAGTAGCACTGGAAGAGGCCATAACCTTGCAAACAAAGCTCTTGTGTTTATGGCTAAAGGCATTTGCACGCCATGGAAGCAGCCACTTGGCTATTTTTTTGCTCATGGGGGAACACCTGCCCAAATTGTGCGAGACCTCCTTTTCCAGTGCCACAATTTGCTTGTGAAAGCCGGTCTGCAGCCAGTAGCTGTTGTATGTGACCAAGATAATCAAAATGTTGCTATTTTTAATGACTTTGTTACCCCTGAGAAGCCCTACATAACTGTGAACGAGAAGCCAATTTTTTTATTTGATCTTCCGCATCTGCGTAAGTGCTTGCGAAATATCTTCAAGTACAATTTTCGAGTTGGGGACCGCACGTTAAAACGCTCTTTCCTATGGGAAGCCTACGAAAAAGACAACAGCTTGAAATCCGATCCATGCCCAGGCTCAATGAAAAGCATTTTAATTTCACTTTTGCCTCCAAGATGTCAGTGAAGCTAGCAGCACAAATATTCAGTAATCACTGTGCTGCTGCAATGTTCGCCATGGTACCTTTTCAGAAACTGTCAGTTGAAGTTATCCACACGGCCCGGTTCATTGAGAAAATGGATCGCCTTTTCTATAGCTTGAACAGCTCACAAAGACCCGGGAAGAGTGCATATGTGTCTGTAATGCGCAAAGGCCCTGTTCACAAAGAGTTTCTGAGGGAACGCCTTCTCATGTTAAAAAGCCTTAACAGTTTCTTGCGTACTAGGGCTCACATAGACAGTCAAGCTGTGGAGCAAAATATGTATGTGGCCAGCCCATGTACTATAACGAAAGGCCTCAATTTTCAATCTCTTGAAGCATTAATTAATGTGGAAATTCAAATGCAAAAGATATGCATGACTCCGCACTTCCACTTGTGATTGATATGATTAAATCTAGTTATGAGCTCTCAACGTGAACAGTGCAAGAAAAATGCGTAAACGTGCCTCCCGTTGAGAGTATTAAGTGCGTGCATAGAGTTGTCCAAACCTGATTTCCACTATGTTTTCAACACCATATCTCTATCTTTAAGTGTCCTGTAGTGGTTTTGTAAGTTTGTATATAATAAATTGTGTGAACCAAGCTTGTGCCGTTTGATCTTTCTTGGCAAACAAGCCATAGTTACAATAATAAGTATGCCTTCATAGGCGCACTGTAACACCCTGCTTAGCTGAAAAGGATAGTAACTTATTGGTGGTTCCCAGAACTGAAAAAAAACTGGTTCTTTTGCAAGAGGAATTACGTGGGAGTGATTGATACAAACAAGGCTATGACGCGTGAAGCAAGGTATGAAGGACGGTACTTACGCAGGTCATGTAGAATATCTAAAAAAAAACTCATTTCAATATCGCGCCCATGGCGAAAATCATTTAAATTTTGCGCCAAAAACAATCGTGACGTCACAATCACAAGAAAATTGCGTCATTTCGTGTTTCTTTTTAATGAAGAGTCACTTTCTGTACGTCACAGGCGAGCATGACTAATTGCAATGCCGCGCATCTCACAGATGGCGCTGCGCCCCATGAGCCGCCATATTTACGCCTATGAGCTTCTATGGAAGCTTCGCAATTATCTATACATATACCTTGGATAGTCTTCCTGCGACCGTCTCGTGCGAGGGAAGAAGCAGAATCAGGCCACAGGCACGCTTCCTACTTGGCCAGCTTCACGCGCGGCAGTATGACTAAGGCAGATGTCGTACAGATGCGTATGCAAAACGTGAGTGGCCCCTTTAAAGCTACAGCACTTTGCCCGCCTCATGTAATTGTAAGAGGATCCGTAGAGCACAAGTGTTCATGTGATATTCCTCTAGAGAGAATGACAAACATTTTTCACGGAAATTACAGGGAGAACCAGATATCAACGGCTCTTTCTGCTACGCTCATTTCGTTAAAGGATTGTCAGCAAAACTACCACAGTAATGGAGAGTGCTCAGTTGGGGTATTAATCTAAGTTGCAAATTGCAATGCCCACTATTACCCATTTGAAGTCAAGTGTAAAAAATTATCAAATTTGTGTTCGCGCTAACAGTGTCGTGCAGAGTACATCCATGAAACTTGGTGCTCATGTTGACATCGGCAGAAGACGAAGTTTACACCAAAAACAAGCAATGCTAATTATGCTAGTGTCTACTTACATGCCTAATTTTAGGCCTAAACCATTAATTGATAGAAGTCAACGAAGCAAGATTTGTCTTACTTGGATTCATTTAACTGGATGCAGTTGGCTAAAATATAAACACATTTTGTGCTAAATAAAATTCAACTCATCTATTTAGTTCGTATCTTGCTTGTCTGAAATATATTTGATTATGTACGAAGGAGGAACGTTAGTTTGAATAGTCGCGAAAAAACGCAGGGAACGGTTAAGCTTCGCCTTGAAGAGTGAAACGCGAGAGCGTTTTCAGGTCCCGTCGCAAAGCCTTCTCATATAAACGCAGGCTCGTTACAAAGACGTCCAAGCGTGTGTGCATGGTCTAGTCGGTAGCGTAACATGGCACGTGACTTCACACGTGGCTGTGACGTCATGACCCTATCGATCCCATAGATTTGGCGGGACAATTTTCCGTTAAATTTGGGAGGAAACTTTTACCCTAGATCTGAAAAAAAATTTTCGCTAAATTCGTCGCGAAAATATATTCGCTAAATTTGGCAGAAAATATTTTGCTAAATTTGGCTGGGAAATATTCCGCTGGATTAGCCGGGAACATTTTCCGCTAAATTTGGAGGGAAAAGTTTCTGCTAAATTTGGGGGGAAAATTTCACGTTAAATCTTATAATGCAACGGGCGCTGCCACGTGTGACGTCACGTTTGACACACGTGCCGGCGCGCGTTGTATTATGGAACGTTTTGGTCCCACCGACTCTGGCGAAAAAAGCCGGCGCCGGATTTTTTCCGGCACGATCTCGTAAGCGCATAAGCGTAAATAAGGCTGCGTTCCAACCGCCCCGGATAAATATAGACGGATGTTATGCTGGATACACAATCATCAGTTCGTGTTCGTGACACCTAACTGTTCTAAACTTTAACTTTACTTAAATTCCTTTTACTGAAGGGTTTTGTTCACCTTTATTCGACAAGGTGCACTGCTTCTCCGTTTACTGTATCGTGTACCGCTATGTCGATCGTCCCTTCTGTGACGCGATGACCGCCCGTTTTGAAACTGGGGGAACTTCTGATATTGTTCTACCAAAAAAGTTCTAGAAACCATTCTTATAAAACGAAGGAGCAGTCACAGACAAGTTAGCGCTTATGAAATCTTAATTACTATTAGACACCATATATTTTAATATGTCCCGGTCAATTAGGAAAGTTTAATCAAAAATAGCATAGTCAACTTCTATCTATAATACGTAAGTTGAATGAGTGAATGTCGTCTATAAATGGTCCGCGGCAAAATTTCCAAATGGCAAGCAACTCATTCTAGAACCATAAACGGCGCATGCAAATTACCGTATAAAGTTAGTCATGGGAGCATTCTATATTATACGGAACACCAGGATTTGCATTATGTCACAGTAAATATTCACCATACCCGCTGAGGTGAATATCGTTCTGGAAAGATCCCCAGGCAACGGCCCCTTGACCGGGCTTGCCGTCATGGATGTGCAGCTCCCCTTCCGATGTTCCAAGTGATGCCCATGCGTATTGGCACTTCGGGTCTTCGGGGGCCTCGGCTGCGACTTGCAGCGCCAGAAGAGCAGCTACTGCCAAGGTCATGAACATGTTCCTGAAAGTACAATACGTGACACCGTTAACTTAGACACACCATTATGATTTTTTTTTTAAGTTTATTTAAAAGGCGAAAATAAAAAAGTCGCAAATTAAAGCTTAGTCTTAAATAATCATCTTGCCTACGTGAAAATAATTTGAGAATTGTAATACGTGTCGCTAGCTTTGTTTGGCGAGATTTCGAACTATCGCTTTTTCCTCAATCGAGTAGACGCTATTGGACACTGTACGTCAAAATAGTCATTGATTTTTTTTTCTTTTATTTCAATGTATATATGTATGTAAACCGAGAGCGTTCCTGCCTTGTATGTGAACCGAGAGCGTTCCTGCCTTGCTTCCTGCAATTATCCGTGATGTATCGCAATATACGAAATTATTAAAGATAACGATTCAAGGCTGATATTTTATATTTGATGATCCTTTAATTCTGTTCACTAAAGCAACACGGCGACGACGTTATATAGTGTGGGCTCATGCAGGTATAAACCTAATTAAGAAGTGAAAATATCTCCATAACAAGAACTTTGAAAACCACAAAAATGGGACCACGTCACAGATGTTCGTAAGACGTCATTAGTTCTTTGTGTGCCTTCCTTTAATGTTTTATAAATATACCAACAACGGTCATCGAAATATTCGTATTCTTTATATTCCACTTTAAGTTTAGGCTCCAGCTATAATGTGGAGTGAATAAAGTCTAACTTGTTTAAAAAGAAAAAAAAAAGTGCTAAGAAAGTGACCTTGGTGCTCCACATTCACAAGAGATTGTTCCATACCGGCAAATATCAAGTAATCAAATGTCTTTATAGCTGGACTCTGCATAAACTTCCGACTTACGGTACATTGTGTGATGTAACAGGCTGAGGTGCGTGATCAGCTGTGTTCTTTATTTCGTACTTACGATGTTCGATGGTTTCTATGGATAATGTCTATGCGTATAATATGTGTTGCTAATGGGGTATTCACACCAAGGACGAAACCGATACATCGCCCCGCACCAGAAAATCTGGGAGAAATTGCAACAGGTTGCATTTATTGGCGGCCATTGTTGAGTCCACCGATTTGAATGTGAGCTTACTATGAGCTAATTCGGGGCTCATTTTGACCATTCACTGTAAATACCGGCACACAAATATGGCACCCAGTGAATGCCACTTTCAGGTGAGTTCGGTTGCTCCACCTATCTGATTTTCTTCTGGTACACAGCATCCTCCTTATAGGTGAGTTTTAGAATAAAGGGTCCCAACGCTTTGAATTCCCCAAGCTGCTCGACGAGCCCAAAGTGTTGAGAGCCCTATTTTAAAACGTACTCTTATTAAGCTTATCCGAGTTGGTGACAACGTTACAGAATTGGCTCAGTTGTGCAGCCAATTCTGTAACCTGCCTCACCCCTTAAGTCCGCCTGCCGTCATTTTAAGAGCCATCCGAACTTTTGTTTGAAAGCTCTGTGTACCATAAAGTACGGTGACACAAATAGGCTCTATGCTTATAAACATATGGATTCCATAGAACACACTGCAGTTACAATTAAAAATAATAATATTATTGATAATAAATTGTTTTATCTTTCTCGTGCCCATAAACAACCTCCAGGTTTACAGTGTGGTGCACTAAAGATTCACGGAGTAAAAACTAAAAATACTGGAAGCAACAAAGTTAAATCAATAAAAGTCATGCAACATTATCATAATGCAAACGTTGATTATTGATTAGTTCAGAGACATCCAGTCACGTAGATTTAACATAAACTCCTGAGTGGATAAAAAGATGTGGAAGTTAAAGTTTTTTAATCATAAGCAATTTGTATCCTTGAAAATGGGATTACAGCGGACAAGCAAGATGGATAAAAAGTTGAAGTGTTTCGGCTCGGGTGAGAGGGAACATGAAACTGAATAGTTTGTAATAAGGCCGCCGAATTTGCCCAACCATGAACAACTTTGTGAAGGAATAAAAAATCTTTGTACTGCATTCTCAAGGCGAATTTATGCAGCGAAAATTTACGAAGCAATGTTTTGTAGTGATGAAAACGTCTCCTTCCAATGTAGTGGTCATATAAAATTATTACGATTCGTTTTTGCACATTTTCAATTGCTAGCTCTTGCGACTGAGTCAATGAATTTCAAATGACTGAGGAAAGTTCCTGTCCCGATCGAACTAGCGAGCTAAATAAGAGTAGCAAGGGATAGGAAGCTGAAAATTGACAAAAATGTTCCCCAAGTTGCTGCAGCCAAATCGCTGCCGCCAACCAAACATTGGCGCATCGAACGACGAGAGGCGGGCCAGGGGGAGAGAGAGTAGGGTTCGTGGAAGCACTGGCTATAGGCAGTTCTGCAACTGAGCTAATCTTGTATC